GCTGCGAAACGTGTAGCAGGAATGGGACGCGGCGCACATCGCGCGCGGATGCCTGGCCAACCTTGCGCCGGAGCCCCCGTCCCACCTGTGCAGAAACACCGAAACGTCGACGCTTTTTTTTTTTTTTTTTTGCCAACATGTATTTTCTCCTCGCCGGCGCTGCGAATCGCGTAGCGGAAATGGGACGCGGCGCACATCGCGCGGGGACGCCAGCTCGTCAACGTGGATTCTTTTGTCGTCGACGCTGCGGCCCGTCGGGTTGAGCTGGATGGGCAGCAAATCAGAATGCCTTAAGAAAGTGCGGTTCGCCGCCGGCGCGCCCGTTGTCGTGTCCGAGCGCCTAGCCGCCAGCAGTATAAGATGAACGACAAGCGTCGGACGCGACGCACTTGCTTCTTATGTTGCGGGAGGGCGGGTGGGAGTAGACGGAACCCTCTGGCTCGTTCGAGCTGGCTAACTTGACCCCCCCGCCCCTCCCCCCCCACCCCCCCATCCTTACTTCCTCTGATTAAACACCCCCGCATCCCCACCCAGCCAGCCGATAACCACCCCGCAATCCTAAAACTCACACTTTTCCTCGCCAACATGTCGTCGATATGGGATACGCGTCGCAAAGATTAGACGGAATGAACATCGCTCGGGTAAACCTAGGCGGGGGGTCGCGTCCTACCTATTTAAAAATACGAAGACAACATTTTCTCGTCAGCGTGGACTTTCTTGTCGTCGACGCTGCGAAACGCGTAGCAGGAATGGGACGCGGCGCACATCGAGCGCGGATGCCTGGCCAACCCTACGCGGGATCCCCCGTCCGACATGTTTTAAAACATGCAGCGTCGATGTTTTTCTTGCTAACGTGTACTTTCTCCTCGCCGGCGCTGCGAGTTGCGTAGCGGGAATGGGACGCGGCGCACATCGCGCGGGGACGCTTGCTCGCCAACATGGACTTCCTTGTCGTCGACGCTGCGGCCCGTCGGGTTGAGGAGCTGGGCGGGTGTGCATCGCTCGCGGTCTTGTTTCTCGTCGACGTTGCTCACTACGCGGCCGGAATAGGACGCAGCTCATGTCGCGCGCTGACCGTCTAGCCGCCCGCGGTATGAGATGAGTGACAGGCGTCAGACGCGACGCACTTGCTTTTTATGTTGCGGGATGGCGGGTGGGAGTGGACGGAGCCCTCTGGCTCGTTCAAGCTAGCTAACTTGACCCCCCCCACCCACCCCACCCGTGCACCCCCCCCACCCCCCCCACCCCTCCCACCCCCACCCCCACACCCCCCCCACCCCCCAACTGCGGAGGAGGACGGGGGGAGGAGGAGACGGAGGCGAAGGAGATGGAGGAGACTTCAGAGACGGAAGAGACCTCAGAGATGGAGGAGACCTCAGAGACCTCAAAGACCTCAGAAACCTCAGCGGCGGAAGAGATTCAAGACGGAGGCGACCTCAGAGACGAAAGAGACCTCAGAGACGGAGGAGACCTCAGAGACCTCAAAGACCTCAGAGACGGAGGAGACCTCAAAGACCTCAGAAACCTCAGAGACGGAGGACACCTCAGAGACGGAGGGGACTTCAGAGACGGAGGAAATCTCAGAGACGGAGGAGGCCTCAAAGACGGAGGCGACGGATGAGACCTCAGAGAAAAATTAGAAAAGGAGAGGGAGGAAGAGAAACAAGAAGAATCATAGAACAAAAAAGGGAGGAGGACGACACGGAAACGGAGGAGATGGAGAGACCTCAGAGACGGAAGAGATCTCAGAGACGGAGCAGACCTCAGAGATGGAAGACACCTCAGAGGCGGAAGAGACCTCAAAGACGTAAGAGACATCAGTGACGGAGGAGACCTCAGAGACGGAGGAGAGAGGAGGAGGAGGAGGAGGAGGAGGAGGAGGAGGAGGAGGAGGACGAGGGGGAAGAGGAGAAAAAGGAAGAGGATGACGGAGGAGACGGAGGAGAAGGAGGAGAGACGGAAGAGCCCTCAGAGACGGAACGGACCTCAGAGACGGAGGGTACGGAGACCTCGGAGACGGAGGAGACCTCAGAGACGGAGGGGACAGAAGAGACAGGACCTCGAGCTAAGATGATGCGAGTGCCGTGCTCCGAGGATGTCTCGAGCGAAAACCGCATTTTTGACAACAAAACGTCTGAACCGCACGGCCGCAACATCTCAATTTCCCGAAGATGTCGCTGGCGAAACTGCCGTTGTCAACGGTTCGCTGGATTTCGCGAGCGGGCTCAATAGCTCGTTTTTTTTTTTTTTTTTTTTTTTTTTATTTTTTTTTTTTTTTTTGTAAAAAAAGAAAAGAAGATGTCTTGAGGGAGAGCCTCAATTTAACAAGAGGCGTCTGAAACACACGACGCAAGCATCTCATTTGTTCGAAGATGTCTCGACCGAGTCGGCCGTTTATAGGGGGAATCCGCCGAGAAAACATATTTGCGATCCCGCAGCCAATTGTCCCTCGCGAGCGAGTTCTTTATTCGTTCGTTACCAACATGGCCGAATAATCTCCCATCACCTTCTCGTTCCGAGAAGGCGTTTCCCGTGATCCGCCCCACGAAAACCGCCGTGCAATCCCGAGCCACGTCTCCCTCGCGTCGATTTTTTCCATTTGTTATTAGAACGCTTGGCCTAACAAACTCCCACCACCTTCTCGTTCCGAAAAGGCGTTTCCCGTAATCCGCCAAGCAACAAGCCCAGTGGAATCGCGACTCAGTTGTCCCACGCGTCTTAGTTCTTTGTGAGCAAATAGAAAGCATGGCCAAACGAACTCCCATCACCTTCTCGTTCCGAGAAGGCGCTTCCCGTGATCCGCCAAGCAGAATGCCATATGAAATCGCGACCCAAATTCTCCCTCGCGTTTGAGTTCATACTTATGAAGTAGAGAGTATGGCCTTACACACTCGCTTCACCTTCTCGCTCCGAGAAGGCTCTTCCCGTGATCCACCAAGCGATGAATGCTTCTTGAAGGCCGGCAGCCAGTTGTCCCTCGCGTGTTAGTTCACGTTCATACCATATGCACTAATGCTCGAGAACTTCCATCACTTTCTCGTTCCGAAAAGGCGTTCTTTTTTTCTTGTTTGATACCGCAACCCCAGCCATGAGGCCCAGCGAGCTCCACAAGGCCTGCCGAAGAGAGGCCTGCGCACGCCTGCGTACTTAGACACATCACGGGAGGCGTCCATCCCCTGATGGACACGCCGCCTAGCAGTGAACGACCCTCTGGTTGAACGGCTGGTAGCGACGGGCTGTCGGCACGAAACAGAACCCAGCGACCCCGACCAGCCAAGCAAAATCACACAGCAGAGCAGCTGCGCAAACGAAAGACAGACTGGCAAACGAAACGAAACTTAGGGAGTATACCGAACATCCGTTTCAAATTCAGGGGGCTGATCGGGAACGCGAGCCCCTCAGGGGGGCCGAGGGCCCGTGGAGGCAGCTCGGACGAGGGGGGCTACAGAGTGAGAGCCCACTCGCAACACAACCACGAGGCTGCATCCCTCCCCGAAATCAAACACATTGGTTTCCCGCGACGTAGCGTCGCCCCAGGACTACAAAACTTGAACGCTCTCGCCGAAAGCGGCGACTGCAAGCACACATGTCCAACCCCGTGGGCCGCGTTTCGCGCGCCGACCAACCTTAAAACATGTGTGCTTGATTTCGAGTAGGGTTGTAGCCATCCGGGTTCTTGAAAACGACACGGCCTTTTCGTTGTACCCTCATTTTGCATGTTTGTTGCCCGGTTATAGTGCCGTTGTTTTTGCTTCGCTTCCGTCACCGTTGTGTTTCTGGTTCCAGCTCCAGATACGATCCCAGAACCGCTTTTTCTCGTTTCGGCGAGCCGTTGTTTACAGTTTCGTTCTCAAGATTAGGGAAGCGATAAAAAAAAGACACTGCCGTTTCCAAGAGCCACCGAGCCCCTCCAAAGCTGGCGTTGTTCTTAGCCCTCACGCCAACTGTACGATGACGCAGGTCGCGCCTCTCCCGTACATGAGGCCCTCCGCTAAACAAGACGCGCAGAACATCCAAGGGCACCATCTCCAGGATGCGCAAGAGCATCCGACAAACACGAAGAACACTAGGGCACCCTCCCCGAACCGGCCTTGACTTTGTACCTCGGGCCGACCGTGAGCCCCTCCAAAAAGCACGCGTTGCTCTGCCCCCCCCAAGGGTTCTTATGAAGGGGCCCTGGGACACACTAATAAATACACACAAATAAACAGATTCCCCATATCTTCCCATATTGTCTGGGTTTCTGTCTTCCCCCCCACTCCCCATAGTTTCCCATATCTTCCTGGGAATCGACGATTCATTGTGTCTGTGTGTTTTTCCCCCTCCTGATCTTAACCCTCACGCCGGCTGCACGAGGGCGCAGGCCGCTCCTCAACGGCCGCACCCGTCGGCGAGCCCCGCGCCCGAGCGAGGGAGAGCACGCCCGCGGCAGGCGGCGAGAGGGGAGAGCAGCTGCGCGTCAGGGGGGGATGCGGTCGAGCCCGGGCCAGCAGAACGCCCCTCGAAAGCACGAGGTCGGCTACACGCAGGAGTGACCCTGGGTAAGAGTGACCTTTGGTGCGCGGCTTCTTGCGGGCCGCGGGGGGACCAAACCTGGGCGCACAAGCCGCTGCTCCTGCTTCGTTTTCAGCCATCTAGGGGACCCATTTGTGCCCGCACCAAAGGTCACTCCGGCGAAAGGTCACTCTTACGTCTAGACGAACGAGGCCCCCCGTCGGCAAAAAACGCGCAGAACATCCAAGGGTGCCATCTCCGGGATGCACAAGAGCATCCAACGAACACGAAGAACACTACGTCCCCCCCCCGAGCGGGACTAGATCTTATACCTCGGTCCAACTGTGGCCACTGCGCGCAAGGGGGGGGGTACAGTGCTTGACGCAAGTTGCCTGGAGAAGTATTTCCCTCCGTCAGTCTTGTCTGCCTCCAGAGGTGGCATGGAAGGCGCGGGCGGCGAGAAGACGAGCCGCTTCGTGCATTTGGGGGGGGGGGAGGCACTCAACTCAGTGCTTGACACGACGTGCTGCCTTCAGAAGCGTCTGCCCTCAGAGAGGGCCCGAGGGGGACAAGCAAAGAGGAGACGAGCCGCTGCGTGCGTTGGGGGGGGGGCATGTTGCTTGACACGGCGTGCTGCCTCGAACAGCGTTTGCCCTCAGAGAGGGCACGAAGGGGGCAGGCAGCGAGAAGACGGGCCGCTGCCTGCAGTGTTCGGTGGCGACTCATGAGAGCCTACCATCCCATCTTGTCGGCTCTTGCAAATCGACGCTGATCGACGCTAAATCGACGCTCGTCGACGCTAATCGACGCTAATTCGGCGCTACCTCATCGGCTCCCACACGCTAATCGACGCTGGCCGGCGCGAAAAGCAGAACTGCGAGGGTGCGCGAGCAGTGGGGGGGAGGGGAGGGGGGGGGGGATGGGCCTGTTTTACACCACCACAACCAGAAGTTGGAGGGGGGGAGGAGGTCGAGGATGAGGAGGAGGAAGAGGAGAAGGAGGCGGAGGTGGAGGAGGACCCCCTCCCCCTCCTAATTCTGGTGGTGGTGGTGGAGAACAGGCTCATCAGGGGGGCGGCGCAGAGAGGCCTCGGCCTCGGGAATCTCGCAGCGCTGGCACCAGGCCTGCGCCGCCGCGGGAGGGCCGCCCGCGTCGCCGATCAGAGGCCCCCAGCGAGTATCGTTCGACCGATCCCCATCCAACGGCGGCGTGGCCTGGGCCCCACGGGTCGATTCACCCGCCCAGGTGGGGATATAAGTCGTTCCCTTTGGCTTTCGAGGAGTGTGTCCCCAACTTGGGTGGTGATTTGGTGGGGGTCTCGAAGGGGATGGGGATGGGGATTGGTTAAACGATACCGACCCAGGTCTCGGGTGCAGGCTGTTGCTGATGCCGTCTGTTTCACGCTGCATCCTCGGGTGACCTCGTCTGTTCCGTCGCGCCCCTGTCCAGATCGAATCCGTGTCGAATCCATGCCGAGCGCGGCGCATATCCGTGTCGAATCCGTGTCGCATCCACAGCGAATTGGCGTCGAAGCAGCGTAGAACCCACGTCGAAGTACATGAGAGTGCTGCCACTTACTGCCCTTCTAAACAGTATAGAAGGATATAATAATCCTCATCTATCCTTTTATCTAATACCCCTCTGTATAACATTCGAGTGTCGTGTCATTCGATAATACCTGCTGGAGACAATCAATCCATCACTCGTGTACCTGCCTCTTTATGAAATATCACAGCATATCCCCTTCACCCCCCCGGAATTACTGGGAGCCCTTCAGTGGGGACTCCTTGGTGAATCCGGGCACAATTCGCCCACCCGAAAGCATTGCAAAGGCGGGTCGAGTCGTCCCCCGCTCTTCGTCTTCTCTGGGCCGTGCAACAAATCCTGGCTAACAGTGTCCGGGCTTCTGGGGCGCTGGCTCATTGCAGCTCAGCGGAGGGGGGACTGGGCTTCATGCCCTTCAAACAAAAAAGGGCGGCCTCCAGAAGGCGGAGAGAAAGGCAGAGGTCCGCGTTCGCCTCGTGTCACTCTTGGCTTGTTTTTGCAGGCCGTTTTCGAATTCGGATATGGGGGCACACTAAAAAACGGATATATGCACCCGGAAACCACTCTGGAAACATGTCTGGGATGCAGGAGTGGGGCCTCTTTGAAGCTTCTTCGGGTCACTCGGGGGTCTTCTCGGCAGCTCTCGGGACAAATGTTTGAAGGCCTCTGGAACCTCTTGGGCCATCTTGGGGGCGGGGGCGTCTCGGGGGCCTTTCAAGCCCCTTGAAGGCCTCTTGAGCCCCCACCTGGGTCCCTCGAGGGTGCGTCTCAGACGCTCGGGGGGAGGACCTCTGGGTCGTTGTGAGGCCCTTTCATGCCGTCTTGGGGCCCTCTTTTGACCCTCCTGGGCCGTCTCAGGGTGGCATTGGAAGCATATGGAAGGGTCAGAAGTGAACAAACGCAGGAACGCTAAAACCAGTAACACAATAGATTAGAATCAATAAGTTTGGCATGTTGGTACCTCTGAAGGGTCCTCTTGGCACATTCTCGGGGTGGTTTTGCGGAATTTCTGCCATGCCTTGAATACCAAGCCTCCAACGGCCTTTGTGATCCATGAAAAGGGGCGAAAAAGAGCTCCCCAAAGAGCCGAAAGCGGGCCCCGGACCCGGGGGATAAATTCTAGACGCTTCGCGTATCCCCACCAGCCAGCACGCGGACCAGCACTCCGACCAGCACAACGACCGGCACCACGACCAGCACTCCGACCAGCACCACGGCCAGCGCCCCGACCAGCCTCACGACCAACACAACGACCAGCACCAGCAGTCCGACCGGTGGCGCAACGACCAGCACTCCGACCAGCACTTCGACGAGCACAACGACCAGCACAACGACCAGCACCACGACCAGCACCCCGACCACCACAACAACCAGCACAACGACCAGCACAACGACCAGCACCGCGACAAGCCCCACGGCCAGCACAACGACCAGCACTCCGACGAGCCCAACGACCAGCACCACGACCAGCGCTCCAACCAGCACAACGACCAGCACTCCGACCAGCACAACGACCAGCGCAACGGCCAGCACTCCGACCAGCCCAACGACCAGCACAACGACCAGCACTCCGACCAACACGACGACCAGCGCCACGACCAGCACTCCGACCAGCACAACGACCAGCACAACGACCAGTTCTCCGACCAGTGCAACCACCAGGACCACGACCAGCACAACCACCAGGACCACGGCCAGCACTCTGACCAACACAACGACCAGCGCCACGACCAGCACCACGACCAGCACTCCGACCAGCACTCCGACTCCGACCAGCACTCCGACGAGCCCAACGACCAGCACTCCGACCAGCACCACGACCAGCGCAACGACCAGGACCACGGCCAGCACAACGACCAGCACAACGACCAGAACTCCGACCAGCACTCCGACGAGCACCACGACCAGCCCAACGACGAGCACAACGACCAGCACTCAGACCAGTACCGCCACCAGCGCAACGACCACCGCAAAGACCAGCATCCCGACCAGCACCACGACCAGCATGACGACCAGCACAACGACCAGCCTTGCTGCGTCATCTCACGCACGCGCCTTCGACGATGGCAGCGACGCATGCACATCGAGGCCTTGCGCGGGCGTCTGCAGATGGAGTCCACGAGGCGGTTGCGGGCTGGGGAGCAATGCCGAGCCCTGATGGCGGCCCCCGGTGGGACTACGGCCCGCGAGCGCGCTGTCCTGGCGGGCCACCGCCTGCATACGGCAGCATGCCGCCACACAGGCGTAAGCGATCACCACGGCCCCGTGGCGCTCCAGCGCGCTGGATGGTTCAGCCCTGCAGCCCGGGAGACGCTCCTACGCGCGGCCGTGGGCAGACACCACGGGCTTGCCGACATGTCTGACGAGGAGTTCGCGGTCCTCTCCGCGCCGGCGCTGCGAGCCGCGAGGCGAGACGCGCGCCGCCTGGATCGATGCGCCTCGCCAGACGAGCCCCTGCACCGTGCTGCGCCTCTCGCTGAAACGGCTGGGGACTTTGCGGGGCGCCGTGCGGCTGCGGTGCTGCGGGTGCAGACGGCGTGGCGGAGACACGCGAGCGTTCGCCGTTTTCCCTTAGTCGCAAACCTTCGTTCCCAACACACCGACCAACAGCCTTCCGACCAGCACCACGGCCAGCTCCACGACCAGCACTCCGACCAGCACTCCGACCAGCACAACGACCAGCGCAACGGCCAGCACTCCGACAAGCACCACGACCAGCACTCCGACCACAACGACCAGCACAACGACCAACGCTCCGACCAGCACAACGACCAGCACCACGACCAGAACAGCGACCAGCACAGCGACCAGCACAGCGACCAGCACCACGACCAGCACAACGACCACCGCAACGACCAGCACCACGACCAGCACAACGACCAGCACAACGACCAACACTCCGACCAACACTCCGACCAGCCTTGCTGCGGCTTCGCACGCACGCGCCTTCATCCTGAGCAGCATCGCCACCTCCACCAGTCGACCGACCAGCACCAGGATCAACATCAGCACCAGGTCGACCAGCACCAGCGCCAACTCCCGCGCCCACCTGGTAACCCGCAGGATCGCTCTCGCAGGGTGGTCTGTCGACACGGTTCCGCGTGCCTCTCCCGTGCAGCGGGCACGTGCAGGTTCTGGCATGACCCGGCCGAGCCGCGAGACCTGGAGGCCCCAAACCTCCCGAGGCTCCTGGAGCGCCGCTGCATCCCCGCTGGCAGCGTCGGCATCGACATCGACAGCTTGTTTGCCCCGTGGGCGCGGAGCACACAGTGCATGACACTAGAGGTGCACGACCCGTACCTAAGCTACTTACGCCGGGCATCCGACATGTACCCGGCATGCGAGCACCTCGACGCCGACTCCTTGCTCGCAGCATTGGACGGGAAGGACCTCTCCACAGTCACTGGTCTTGCCTTGTTCGAAGAATTGGTCCGCACAGTCAATCGAGCCTCCCGACACCTGACCAAGGTGGTGTTGTGCACCCGCGGCCTCCTCCGAAACGACGTCCCTGCCGACCAACTTCTCCAGGGGTGGGCCGATGCCTTCCGGCTTCGATGGGGACCATGCGGCATAGACCTCGAGGTGGTGACGAATCAACAACTTCACGCCAGTCGCTGCGTGCTGCAAGGCGCCTCCTTGACGATTGAAGCCACCATAGAGTGGGGGCTGGCGTTCCACCACGACACCGTCGCCAACATGAGCCAGTCCTCGGGTTTCCGACGAGCCAAACAGACCGACCTGGCAGTATACGAGTATCGCGGACCTTGGCCTGGGACTCGCGCCGAGGCAATGGCCGACGCTGCAGCTATGACGGACCAGACCGCTCCACCGCCGACGACACCAGACAGGGAACGAGAGTCGGCATTGTCACACTTGGTGCGCAGGGTTGTGGTCGCCAGCCGACGGCGCTCGTGGTGCGGCCTGGTATTCTGCACCTGGTGCCGTTCCGATCGACCAGCAGCTGACGCTGTCGCCCAACTCGCAGACCAGCGATTCCTAGGACTCCGCTGGGGCGGATCCCCAGGCCGCTACGCGCAGGACCGGTTCGGCGTGCAGATCCAGTGTGCAGAGTGTGCTGTCTCCAGGCGCGGACGGGGACCGTGCTACTAGGGCAGCGTGGCCTGCCCGCAACGATGTCGAGGTCAACTCCTTGCTCGCGGTGCTGCTTTGCTCTCCTTCGTCCGGCGCGAGTCGGGCTGCCCCGTCGAGCTGCCAGATCGGGACGCGAGCGACACAGCTGCGGTATACGGCACGGACGAGCAGATTGACCAGGTCCGCGCGGCACTGCGGGTGGTCAATGCTGGGGGTGATCAAGACACAGTCCGCATCGCGATGGATGAGCGCCGTGGTTTTCCTTTCGGCGTGCCCCCGTTCGGGCTCCCAGTGGGGGTGGGCCACGACGCGCTGGACGACCCGCAGGACGACGACGACGACCGTCGCCACGCGCCACGGCACGCCCCCAACGCGACGACCAGCAGCCGCAGCAGGAGACGACGACGGGCTTCAGCACCAGCGCGACGATCACGACAACCCTCACTTACTGTGCCAGGTACACCGCGTCAAACTCCTCCCACTGACC